TTTATGCTGGACAAAGAATGGTGGTTGCTTGGTGGGAGCACTCCAGCCATGTTCTTTCACAATTCTCACTTTATCTGGTGGACGTCCGGTGATTTGTGGATGTTTTGCTCCACTGAGTGGGTACTTCCTTCTACCAGGGGTAAGCGCATGTAATGGAATAGTTCGAGCAGGGAAAATTGTTGTTGGACTGTTGTATCTATTGAAAGTCTGCAATGCTGAGACAAATGCTGAATCAGTTTTGATTTCTGTGTTATATCTTCTCATCATTTTCTCAACAGCTGGTAAAAAATTATCTGGGTCTTCTGTGACCTTACTTTTTAAGGTGTCTGAGAATCTATTAATATCTTCTAAGCACCTGGCTATTCTTTCAGCTTTCTCATTCTCATCTTCTTCTTGAAACTGTTCATCTAGGATACTGTCTGCCACATCAGCACACTCATTAGCAGAAGGCTCATTATCAACAGAAACATCAGCATTGGGAATGATAACATTATCTCCATTCTCAAAAGCAGGGCTTGTTTCAACTTCATCTGTTTCTTCAGATACAGGTGCAGGTTCTGCAAACGGATTAACTGGACCACTTCTTAATACTGTGAACCATTCCTGAGGAAGTTCCACAGATGAATCAGAAATTACTTTGTATAGAGTTCTCTTGGCTTTTTCATCAGAAAATGGCAAAAACTGGTTGCTGCTTAGGTTGAACTGCAACACAACAGCGTATTGGTGCTTGCATGGTGCACCCGTCTTACCAACGGGGCAAGTACAAATTTCCACCTCTGTATTAACAGTGTATGTCATTTTGGATTCTGAATTGCTCACCGTGTATATGTTTTGACTCACTTGGGAACATGACAGAGGGATAAATTTTTCTTTCTTGATATGGTATCTTGATTTTACATAGTTCTCAACTCGGTTGTTCAATACAGCAGCAATTCTCCTCTCAAAATATTTATCGATACGAGTGGTCAGAAAATGAAACAGCTGAACCAAACTAAAAGCTTTGGTGCTGAAGAAGATATGGTCTTTCAGAACCCTCATGGTTGCCTCGCAGTAGTTGTTAGTATTATGTCCTCGAGTTAGATACTCCATTCGATAACTCAATGCCCATTCACTCACTCTAAGCATCAATTTACTGAAATAATCTTTGGCTTTAGATTGCTTTTGAGAGGCAGGGTGATTTTTCAAAATTTCATAATTTTCTTGACATTTCTCTTTGGTTTCAGAATTTAATACATCCTTGAACATGTGGTAAAGAATAGGTTTATCAGTCTTACAAACACCATGATTTGAATCTAATAACCATCGCCACACAGCTTGCAACACATGAAAAATACAAAGAAGTAGTATTGCATGGGGAAAAACATAATTCAAGGTGTTTCTTTCTGATTTGCAGTCATCTGTCATAAATATAGCTGGTCCTTCTTTTCCAAAAAAAGCATTTTCTGGGAGGATGCTTTTCCAAAGTAGAAATGCTTTCTTTAGGAGATCTTCTGCCTCAGAGGAAGTCACAATTATGCCTAATAGCAAAGCACCAGCTACACTAGGAGTCATCACCAGGAAAATTTTACTTGAGTGTCGGTCCATACAACCTCCTGAATCTACAAAGGCAATTTCACTGCTGCCTTTAACGTATTTGTGAACTTTCTTCATTAGAGGGGTACATATTACAACCATATACTGGCCATCTTCAGTTAATTCAAATTTAGAGCATTCAGATCCACATTCTTCATTG